TGAGCAGGGTGAATGTATCTATTATTTTGAGGACTTTTGTTGTACCGATATAATTGATTACTTTTGATGTACCTATATATTTGCATATCTTGTCTGTGACGATCTATATGACGCTGACTGTACTACTATCTGTCGTCCGCGTATTAGCAGCCTATGTGTTCTTCCAGACTATGTTCTATATCTATGCCAAATTTCAGCGAGATCCGTTGAATCGTTCCGAAGATATCTTCCAAAAAACATCCATCCATCTATCTTAACATTCGCATTTGTAATATTAGTGAGATGTCACCTTTTATTTGACAACTAGCTATCGCCCACGACTACGTCCGCGCGGATTAAAAAAAAATAAACTTAGTAGTCTATGTACTTTTCATGATCTGTGGCCAATTTTAACGAAATCCATGCAACCATTGCGGAGATACCTTCTAACAAATATCCATCCAGCCATCAAATGAACGTAATAATTACGCGAATCCTACATTTTGAGGATATTTTTTTGAGGAATCTTTATATACTTATCGTCAAAATATGTATTAAAATTGACGATGACGATGCGATGGCATTTGTCATAAATATTCATACTAGGCCCAGTGTGAATAATGTAAAAGTAGATTTATGTCTTTTCTACATCCAGGTGATTTAGGTTCGTTAAGTATTCAGCGACGTGACTTCTGATCTCTCAATATTGACGCACGTCAGGACGAAGTAATTGGTACCTATTTGAATTCCAAGGTTTGTTAGGTGATTTAAAACAATTGCCTGGTTTAATAAAAATATTTTTTTATAAAAAATTTGTAACGTTATTTTATAAAACATCTTTGCCGTATTTTTTTTTTTTTTAAACATTATGATTTCAAGTAAATTTAATTTTAAGGGATAACATATTGTCATATTGCTCTGATAATTTCTTTATTTTTTTTAATTATAGGCAATAGAAATCCATGATTACGTTTCATAGTTAGCCTGTAATATTAGGTACATATATAGCAACTTCAGCTCGATTTTTTATGACAATTTTTAAAAAGTACATTAAAATCATTTTACTAGTGGGTTTATGTTAGCAATTTAGCAACTTGTTTGTAATTGTGTTGTGTTATCCAATTTATTTATTTACAAAGGACCTGTTTGTGTTGAATTATAAGGAAGATTTAATTTTCACACCAAAAGCGACGTCCGCAAAAACTTTTTGCGCTTATGTAAGTTTTTGCAGTACAAAATTAACCAACACTTCAAAAAAAACTTAACAAGCTTTTAACATTTATAAATAATACTGTAGTTAATACATTTATTTAAATTAATGGCTTACGCGTACTTTTTAATTTTTAAAATCTCAGTATCATAAAAGAATTAAAACAACTTTTATCTTACCTAGGACAATAACCAAAGATAAAGATAAATTAAATTATTCAAACTTTCGTGAGACATTATAATAAACTAATATAAAAACGGCTAAACACTCACGTATATTCGTCCGGTGGCGGCACCGACTAGTTTCGAGCCTATCATCCCCTTTCATCAGGGTGAGTGAAACTGGTATTATTTCGCGGACGCGGCCCGTCGCTCACTGACTCACTCACCCTGATGAAAGGTCCGCGATGGGCTCGAAACTAGTCGGTGCCGCCACTGGACGAATACACGTGAATGTTTTAGCCGTTTTTATATCATTTTATTAAAGACAAATTATCAAAAATATAACAATTAACTCATCAAACTTATTAACATTTGATAATTTTCCTTTGTTAATACAAATATCATGTTTACAAATAAAGGTAAAACTTCACCTTTGGTGAAATTTGCAACATTTATTCATATTCCGTTTAAATTGATAAAACAATGTCTGTTATTCTGCTTCACACAACGCGCGCAATAATGCGTTAATACAATGTAAATATTGATTTAAGTGGAAGCCTTATGATAGAGTTTCAATTCATCGGACAGCGGCTCGTACGCGAGCACACGGCGAGCCATACTGTAAGTTTCCACGGTCAAATTAATTGTATACAAACATATTTACATCTCTTTCATTCACTTTAACAAAACAGAGACGACAATATGTTTTACTACAAATGGAACGACACGGCAGTTAAATTAATATTCAGATGCAACTTCATCAATACGTTTATTTACACGACTACATCAGAAATAAATTCAAAATTAATCTTGTGTTGATTTAAGTTATATTTTTTTTTCATGTATACATATAAATAAAATTGGAGTGTCTGTTTGTAATATTAAAATAACCGGTTTTTATTACATATCTCTGAATATAATGTACGGTACATGCATCAAAATAATATTATCTCTCTGTTCCAGCTAATCTCTGAAATAGCTAGACCGATTTTGATGCGACTTTTATAGGCAGGTAGCTGCTATAATAAGCAGTAACTTTTTTTTTTGTATCGGGGGGGGGGAATCTTCGTAAGATACCCTATCTTTTGAGGGAAAGACAGGGTTTCGGAGATTCTTACTCACTAAAACCCCCTCGGTGGCCAACCTCAAGTGCGCCTGCGAGGGTTCCGGGATCTACAAAAAAATTATTCCAGAAAAATAAGAAACAATAAAAATAAACAATATGTTTTGTAACAATGTTTCAGCAATGGAAACCTACAGTTAGATTAACGTCTCATCACATTAGTTCGGGTCGGACGAAACAAATGTGCGACACCGTGGCCAAGCGAGGTCGTCAATAATTTGATTTACTTTAGTTTATTCAGCTGTACAACTTACGTGCTACGACCACAAAGTTTTATACTTTTGTCGAAATAATTCACATCAAATAAGGAATTAAATATTTACATACAACGCTGTACGACATGAACTTGTTATGTAGCAAAACACAAACTTAACCATTACATAAACGTACGTAATTTAAACATTCAAACTAAATAGCAACTTATAGTAAAGTTGGTCTTTTGACCAAGTAAAATAACCCACAGAGAATATTGTTACACCCAAAATAGCCGAATTCCCTCTACTTCAAACCAAAATCTTCCAATAGAAGAGATCGCATGTTAGTGGTAAGGGATTAGGCTATTGAGCTAGGGTTGTCAATGATAGCAATAGCTATCAACCGCATGCCAACGCTTAGGCTTCGATATCTACGAAATTGTCAGGTAGAATTCCCGGAAATTGAACTAAAAAGAAAAAAGGGCTAGGGTTGCCAATCAACCGTTTTATAAAGTACGAATAATTCGATTTACAGCATTTGACTTAGTAATAAATAAATATGTTACTACCTGTCGCCCACGACTCCGTCTACGCAGAATGAAAAAAAAGTAAGTAAAGTCTATGTGTTTTTCCAGACTATGGTTTACATCTATGCCAAATTTCAGCGAGTTCAGTTCAGCCGTTCCGAAGATACCTTCAAAAGAACATCCATCCATCCATCTAAACATTCGCATATGTAGTAATACTAAGATGTTCTATAGTATATTCCGTCACATTTGTTAATGATTCTTATTTACGAAAGAAGATATAAGCAAAAAGATATAGTAAATGGTTACATGATAATTATTCTAGTTTTTATAGAGCTTATTTTCCATTGAATACTTTTTTTACTGATTGTAATTTGATATTCCGGCATTGTTATTTTAGGATTTTATGTAAAGCTTAATAAAGGTCACATGATTTAACAAAATTTCAACTTCCAAATCAAACATCCAAGTTATGAATCCAATCAAGTAAAATGTCATGGCGAATTATTTCGGGGCGGGCGACCGACAAATGTTTTCGTCCGAATCGCGACATGGCAACCGGAAGTCGAGAATAATTTCATACCACTCAATGTTTATTTAACTGTAAAAAAAGTATTTCTTTTTCTAAAATAATGATGACAATAATAATAATGAATGAATACCGAGTGCCAAAACAAATCTGTGTTTAGATTTGTTTTAGCACTCGGTATTCATTCTCGGTTTTAATTGCTGATAAAATGTTTTTCAAATAATTTTCAAATCACCGTTTAATTTCAGACCAAAATCCCCGTTTAAAACTTATCGTTATCTCTGTTTTATCAAAGACAAAAGACAGGGATGACGGTTTATTTCATACGGAGATTTTGGAGTCAGAAATCCATGGTAAGTTATGGGCAGTTTTAGATGGTAGTCCCAAGAAAACTTACATAAATATAACAGTAGTATAGAATAATCACAGCTTAAAATTATTGAAATTTCTGTCCCCTGACTACTTTTTTTTACAGTACATACAATTATGAAATTACTTTTCTTATCATCATTTTTTACCATAAATAATCTTTTTATGAGTTAGACTACGATATCTTTTTAAAATGCGCTTATAAAAATTTCTTTTCATATCGCTAAATTTTTTTTTTTTTTTACACCTAATAATATATTTACTTTTAAGAATCATAATTTATATGCTTGTACAACACATAAAACAATTAACGTTTTCCTTTTTACAATATAAATGAGATATCTTATATATAAAATTCTCGTGTCACAATTTTCGTTCTCATACTCCTCCGAAACGGCTTGACCGATTGTCATGAAATTTTGTGAGCATATTGAGTAAGTCTGAGAATCGGCCAACATCTATTTTTAATCCCGCGCGGACGGAGTCGCGGGCGACAGCTAATCGTAGTATAAAACTATATCGAATTGATTGTTTTTGTACTTACCTTACCTTTCTTTGTAGAATCAGAGAACGAATTTACTCCAAAATGAAATTTGCAAGCCTGCGACCTTTATAATACACTGCATTAGAACCAAATAATGTCTCAAAGTCGATATATTTACAAGTTCACATCAAAGTAAAACATAAACACAAAATTTATAACCTCAAAAGTTCACAATACGATAATTTCACAGATACTAAATTTGGAATGATTATATTAAAACCAAAATAACACTAAACTATATAATTAATATATTTTTTGAATTGTAAAACCGATAACAATTTTTTTTTAAATAGAAATCACAAAATCCACAAACGGAATGTTTTTACAGCTGTCATTTGTTCAACGCCACTAACGCCGCGCATGCGCTCTCTAAAAAGTTTTTAAAGCGCATGTCAATTTTTCAAGTAGGTTTCTTTGAATTTAAAGTCATAAAGTACTACAAATTTATCTGGCCAGGTGAGCGTGGCAAAAAAAAACAAAGTAATTGCGTAATCACTTGTAATATGAAATGTGTGAAATGATTTAATAGGATTGTATTTTCTGGGGATTTTAGCCTATTTTTATTACCTCAATGAAAAGAGGTTATTTTTCTCATATTTAAATTTGTATGTAAGTTTGTGTTTATATTTATGTAAATGCCTGTATGACGGACAAGAGCCTTAATTACGAAACTGATTTGAACTAGTGACGGAACTCTGAGTGTGGTAGTTACTAAGAGAAATCTACACTAAGGACTTAAGTATTAAATCAGTGGTTCCCAAACTTGTTTTGTCTACTACCCACTTTGAGAATAAATATTTTTAGCGCTCCCACGTTTTCACATATTTAAATACCACTATAACTTCAAATTAAATTAATTAATTATTGTGACCTATATATGTATATTAACGGAGAATTGTAAACGAAACTTTTACTATAACCCGCAACTTGAGACCTACAGCGCCCACAAGGGGGCGTTATCGCCCACTTTGGGAAACACTGTTTAAAATGAATTTGCGTATAGTAGTTTGATTTATAACGATTTTTTCCCCCCATTATTTTTTTAACCCATTTAATATGCTTGTTAGTACTAAAGCGCATTCTATTTTTACACAGACGTTAAAAGACTAAATTAAAAACTCGATTCATTTCTAACTATAGCATTTTTTCGTCAATTTCTCTTTTTACAGGGCAAATAAAAGAGATGACAATATATTTTTGTACAAGTTTTGAGGGAGTGAAAACTCATGGATAGCAGAAAATATCGCGTGACTACAAATAACAGATGGAAATCGATACGGTAAGCTCTGCTCCAATATATCTATTCCCGGTAAAAGTTCCGAAGCAATTTGCTTGTTATCGTTCACAGAACTAAAATAAAAGTTTGCTAGATTTTTAATCTGAAATCTAATAATAAAGTTGTTCAATTGATTATAAAATCTATATAAGTAGAAACTTTATAACATTTTACTGAGAGGTGTCTTAACAATGGTAGACCCCGCAACAACAATATTTGTTGGTTGCACGAGTCGACCGATGAAATACCACGACCACACAGAAGACAGGCGTGAAGTGGAAACAATTGCGCGTTTCGTCTCACGAGTGTGCATGCCGGAGGCATAATTTTAGTCTATCTTACTAATATTATAAAAACCAAAGTTTAGATGGATGGATGATTGTTTAAAGGTATCTTCGGAAGGACTAAACAGATCTTGATGAAATTTGTCACCGATGTAGACCATACTCTGGAAGAACACATGTGTCCTTCCAGAATATGTTCTATATTTATGCCAAATTTCGTCGAGATCCGTTCAGCCGTTCCGGAGATACCTTCAAACAAACATCCATCTAAACATTCGCATTTATAATATTAGTAACATTAAAAGATTTCTGGTGGAAAGATATTAACGAAAATAATACTAAAACAATAAATGAAAAAATAAAAGCAGCAGACGGCGTTTTTGTATTCAATTTCCATGGTATTTGATCGTATTCGAGACGAAGGAAATGGACGGAACTGAGGGAGATAAAATTTTAATCACATTTATTTCCTGCACTCAGGTGAGATTGCTACAAATCTTGTTGATATGTAAATTTCTAAATATATAAATTTGTTTATTATAAGACCATAGTATATTCATATCTATTTAATACTTACTGTTTAAATTATTGCAAATATACACCACTCTTTTTAGATCTGCAAGATGAATTTAAAAATATTTAGAAAATTATTTGTTTTTAAAAGTGTTATGTTCTGCTAAAGGAATAACATCTCTCAGAAAAAAGAATAATAGAAATTTTGATAGATTCTTAGCAAGCGTTCAGAACCTATGTAGCCAATTTGATAGAATAAATTAGTCATCTTTCAAATTAACATCTGAAAAAAAGTTTTTTTTAACTGTTTATATTTGTGATATATGTTTGTTTATCTATCTTATATATATAAAAGAAATCGTGTTAGTTACACTATTTATAATTCAAGAATGACCTTACCGATATGGCTGAAAATTGGTGAGGAGATAGCTTAGAACCAGGAGACGGACATAGGATACTATTTAATCATTTTTTTGTCAAATTTATGCCTTGAAGAGCTGCTTTTTATTTAACTTACTAATATTATAATTGCGAATGTTTAGATGGATGTGATGTGGATGGGTGTTTGAAGATATCTCTAGAACGGCTGAACGTATCTCGATTAAATTTGGCATACGTGTACAACATAGTCTGAAAGAACAAATAGGCTATACTAGATAAGTTTTTTTTATATATCAACGCGAACGGAGTCGCGGGCCACAGCTAGTTATCTTATAAAATTCAATGAATCCTAAAAAGAGCAAAACTTTTATACCATACTAAAACGTATCAATTTCCAATAGTATAATAGTAAAATAACAGTTTTGCAAATAAACATTTCGCAGTCCTATTAATACGTATATCAATGCCTTTGCAATTACTGTAGAAACTTGACTGTAAATTCATTGGATCCCGAGCTATGGAACTACCGACCTATTTCTATGCTTATAGCAACGCTATTGCCTGCTAATTGCAAATCCATCGCTTCACCGTCTCGAATACATACATCGATATCAAGTATTTCTCTTTATTTTTAATTATGACACGACTATTGTTATACTGTCCGGGAAAATTAATTCTTAATAATATTATAAATGCGAATGTTTGGATGAATGTTTGATAGGGCATCTCTGGTATGTACACATGGAGCTTGCTGGAATTTAGATAAATGTGGGACATAGACTGAAAGAACACATCGGCTACTAATTATATTTATTTGATACAAGTAATGGTTACGTAGATTACGTAGTTTTTTTTTTTAAACGCAGTGTATTTATAAGAGAAACTCATATAAAAAAACCAAACATCCGTGAGATATTTTCTTTTGTTGTTTGTGTTAATCTTACTTCTGGCTAATATTATAAATGCGAATGTTTATATGGATGGATGGAATGTTTTGAAGATAACTCTGGAACGGCACAACGGATCTTGATTAAATTTGGCACAGTTGTAGAACATAGTATGGAAGAACACATAAAGTACTTATTAAGTTTCTTTTTATATCTGTCCGGGCGGAGTCGAGGGCAATAGCTATCGTTATAAAAAACACATATATATTTTTTAAGTAAAAAAGGAGGGCAACTATACACCTGTGTATGAGTAACTACTGATAAATGATGTGACTGTATGCATATAACTAAACACATCGTCTGTTGTGAAAACATTTCGTTTTGTATCGATGGCCATCAATTATTCTGAGCTGACGTAAAACGAGGTAACGATTGTGTGGATCAAAGTCCGACAAAAGTTTCGCACAGGTTAGATAACTATGTGATATATTGTTACCAGCTTTGGTCATTTCATGTTTCAACAAAACAGAAAATATAATATATATTATACGTAGTTACTCATTCTATAAATCTGTAGGCGTGACTCCGTCCACTCGGAAATTAAAATTAAAAATTTGAAGCCTATGTGTCCTTCCAGACTATGTTCTACATTTATGCTAATTTTAAATTTCATCGAGGTTCATGCAGTAGTTCTGAAGATACCTTCTAACAAGCATCTATCCATCTATTCAAACGTTCTTCTTTGTCTCGTGGAATCGACTAAATCTAATCATCATCATCATCATCAGGAGACTACCCTTACGCTAGCGCAGTGTGAGTTGGTTGACTTCACATATATCTGAATTTATTCGTAGATATGTGCAGATTGCATCCCGATGTTTTCCTTCAATAAAAACATCGGATAAAATTAGAGCTTGGTAATCAGGCATTTCTGTAATAACTTGCATAGCTTGGCTTTGTTTAGCGCTGTCATAAAATCTTATTATGCGGACGTTACGACGTTATGATAAAATAAAATAAAAAGAATCTTGAAATGAAAATTTCAATCGTACACTGGAGGATTCCGTTTCGTTGTCGAAGAATTTACAAGTCACAAATTGAAATTCTATTGGATATATTTAAATTTCGAATGTATTTTAAATCATAGTGTCTAGACAAATTAATTTATTAATGTTACTATTAAAATGGGAGGCGAAGCGGGGATTTTTGGATTTACTCGAGCGTGGCAGTAAAACGCACTTTAGTATTTATAATAACCGATACTTACCAGCTCTTTATAGATCGTTTCTTTTGTGATAGGATTATTTGTTTGGTTGGGATGTGGGTAACCTTATGTTTGACTGCCGCGTTCTAGTATATCCAAAAATCCCCGCTTCGCCTCCTCTACTAAGCATAGTCACTATTTAACTCCGTAATTCCACTGGCCTAACACTTCTATTAGAACACGTTGTTGTCTTCCTTTTTTATACAAGATGAAAGAGACATCAACTGTTCGGACAGTGAAAACCTACTTTAAACGTTGCAAAATCGTCCAGCGCAGCTAAAACTTGGAATTCGCATATACATAATTTAAATCTGTTTGCATTTTATTTAGCTGGTGAGCCATTTAATTATTTAGATTTCCTGAATTGTATTTAGGATAACGAATTTAGCAAAATTGCTCGATTATAAATTATGAAATAAATAATTTTATTGCAAATGACAAATATGCAATACTTGTAATACTTTTATTTCAAATATATCATTCGCACATATAAAGTATAGATAGATATGTAATTAAAATGACTTGATGAAATGTCAAATCTACTTGAGCCGACTGGTGTAGCAAGAGACGATGGCAAGGGACCTGACGGTATGAGTTTGATTCTATGGAAGATGGGTCGGGTGCTGGTATGG